CCTGGGATGGAAGGCAAGGCGGATGACTGCACGTTACAGACTTCTGTTACAGCAATATTGATGGTTGTGCTAGAAACTTGAAAATGATGGTTCGTCTACCTGTGTCACGGCAGTGAGCATCACTCCTTCAATTAGTTTTCTGCTATATGAGACTTGAAGATTGTTGCATCCTCCTTCCCACGTAATCCCGAACTGCGATGAAAATACATCAAGATTAAGAACTGAGTGTGGTTTCGACTGTGATAGCGTAAAGGATAATGATGACAATATCTTGAGAGATTATTCACACCTCGTAATGTTTGTGCTAAGCTTGTTGGTTTAAATTTTTTTAATGGATGACCATTCTGTGTATACTGTTGAGTTTGTTTTGAGCCCATGCATTAACAGACCTCTAGTGAGCTTTGTTAGTGTATCCTCCTGCTAATATCTGTTAGGATTGAAGTTGTTTATTTCTAAAAACATGTGTTCTATTTTAACCAAGAAGTAGGTTTATTGTGGATTCCATATTTTTTAATTTTTTTTTTCTTCAAACTAGAATTTGGATTAAGGAATTGAAAATATACTATATGCGGTCTTTTTTATAAGTCTGGAGAGGTGCATAAGAACATTACAATAATTAGGAGGAATAATAATGGTAGTAGTAATAATTAAATTCTAATCTATTATACTACAGCACTTTTCAAAAGGAGTTTATCAAAGTGAACCAAAATCCTGTTTAAAAAAACATAATCAGAAAATAATCTTAACCACTGCAGCCTCAATCTAAATATAACAAGAGAATATCAGTTGTTAAAATGGGGAAAAAAACTCATCTTTACTTTTGATTTGTTTACAGAACTGGGAATTCTTAGCACTTCAAATCTAACTGTCTTTTGCACTACATAAATGTTATTTATTATTATTATCTTTAGATCGGCAACATGGTTTTTTAACCTTCCATGGTTGTGGTGGGTGTAGACTTGTCACAATTCTCTAATTTATTGATTTTTCCTAGTATTAGATAATTTCGGAGACCGCCACCAGCATCTCTGTATATCGAGAAACTTGTTATGTTGTTGAATTTGGATGGGAATTACCAGAAAGTATAGAATGCAATGCCATGCAGAACGCCATTGATGCCAAAATAGATTTTTTTTAATAGTTTCACAGATTAAGACAAAGAAAGTCATTGATCGAGTTCCTAGTCCACATATCAAGCGCTCTGAGCATCTTATATTACATGGATATGTGCGCTATATAAAACTGCACTAATATTATTATTATTATTGTGTCAAACTAAATCGCAACGTTCACATACTAGAGGGTAAGCAAGCGAAGCGAGTCCACACTTGAGTTATGCTGTAAATTTCTCTTACTTAAGACAATTAGACAATTAAGATAAGACTTTAGAACATTATTCATATTTTATTTTAACAAATTTGTTACTGTCATCCATTATTCTCCCACTTGTTCTCAATTCAAATCTCTTCTTAAAACTTAACTAATCGTCTTAAACAAAACTAATGGAAGAAATAACATCATTCTCAAAACATTCAATTAATGTTCTCCAGTAGAATTATTCTTTTTGATCATGCATATTGCACACATTTTGGTGGTAATTATGTGTTGTCACTCTACATTTCCAGTGAAATTAATAGGAGTTTATTTGAGTATATTATGCATATCCATTTTATGCCATTAAAATTAATGCTTCCCGAATAAATACGTGCTAAGAAATACAAACATAAGGTTCTTAGAACATTATTGGTATTACAATAGCCCTAAGACCAAATTTTTCTTAAATTACTAGTTTCCATCTTTTCTGCCTCACCAATTTTTTGTTTTTATTTTTTGTTTTTTGTTTATTTCCTTTAGTTATGAAATGTATGAAAATATAGTTAACTAACAATTAGTAGCTGTTTCCCATAGACCATCTTGGATTTGCCATCTCAGGGAATAAAAAAAAAACGTGCCCTCATTCAATTTTTTCCCCAAAATATTAGGACGAGAAACTACATTTTTTTTTAACATGGCCTTATAACTTCCAGTAAAACATTATAAAAATAATAAAACATAAAAGTACAACCTTAATAAATATTCATACGGTAAATGTTAAACTGTACTTAGGTGTAGGTGAAAGGCACATTAATGCATTTCACATTACATCCATTGTGTCAACTTACTCCCAAGAGGAAATATGAGACTTTTTCGATTTCAAACTTCAAAAAATGCAATAATGTTTTATTCATCAGCATCATTGTATTCTTTTAAAGAGATACTTTAAACATAATATAAAAAAAGACATCTTTGAAACTCAGTAGAGCATGTTATAATGTTTCAAAATAACCTTTCGTATATACCATACATAAAATATCAATAATCATTACATAAAAATAAATTCATATTATTTAGACAATGAAAATAAACTCTGAAATGTGCCCTAACATATAAAATACTCAATTTTCAATTCAATTAAATTTAATGGATATCACTTTCGTAGCAGTGGCACACATAGGACTTAAAGGAATTAAAATGTCAAAGAAATGGAAACTTGATTATTACTATAAAATTATTATTATTTATGTTATTTTGTAGTGTTATATGACTTTTTTATACCTTTTTTTGTGAATCTGCCTCCTACCAATGTTGATGATTTTGAATAAAAGTAACATTTTATTTTTGGCCAATTAGTGCACCTGCTGTCACAAAAAATCGCAATTTCAGAATAAAATAAAAGTTTTTCATTATATTATTATATATTTTATTCAATCATCATAGCATAACAAAATGAATTGAGATGTTTATTTACAATTCTTATTATGCCCGCCTCTGTCTTGAAATCTACGAAATCTACTGTGGAATTTTAATCCGAGGATTAGCTTATGCCGGCGTAAGCTACACCAGTATTATGCACCCTGTGAACATGCCCTTACATGAGCGTTAGCCCCTGACAGTGTGTTTAACCACTGGAATGCCCCAGTGTGAGATTTGTACACATACCCATTTCAGAGAGAACTGTTCAGGATTTTTGTCCCAGGTCATTAGATGCAGAATAAATGTGCAATCTCCTCCACCGTGTGGAGTATTCATGGTTTATGTATATAACTCAGCATTATCAATTTCTGTCTGTGGAGGCGATTTGGCAAAGCAGGAACAGTTTGGTTTCCCAACCTCGAGGTCGGGGTTTCAATCCCTCGCTGTGCATTCCGCTTGTGTCCTTGAGCAAGGCACTTTATCTGCATTGCTTCTCTCCACCCAGGAGTATAAATGGGTACCTGGTGGGATTGCCTGCTCTTGCACTGACTACCAGCTTAACACCATGTGGGCCCAATGACCAGGGAAAAAGAACTGCACTTTATAACCTCAAGGAATACGCGTATTATAAGTGCTCTTACCGGTTCCAGTATGAGTACTAGTCTCTGAATGATACACCTCATACCTAATACCAAATTTATACTCCCCGGTCAAGAAAGGCACTTAGTGCCTTGCCTATGCACATGAGCAATGTGATCAGCATCGGTCCTAAATTCATAATCTCTGCCAGGACACATGGCTTGTGTACTGTTTCGTATATAAACTACTAAGTGAGGATAGTTTTAATACTGTATTATTTAGTTCCTTTCTTAATCAACCACAAATACATGGCCTTCGTGGTGATGAGATAATTTGATTATTGCTTGCTTTTTTTTTATTTAACCTTTCCTGGTTTTTGCCACTAGCTTTGTATTTTTGATATTTTTTATCCCATTGAATATTGGAGTTTCTTTGCACCGTATCTTTGCAATATTTAAATATTTTTTAGTGTTCCAGATTGTCGCATGCATTATTAAGCAAAGTTGCCTATCATAAATACTATTAATTCTTTGACACTTCGGTTGAGCTATAATCGCGAAAATGTCTTCTGCCAACGAATTGATCTTGAAAATGTGTGACATGAACGACAGTTGTCAACGAGCTGAAACTAGATAATATACCTTATTTGGCTGTCATTATGAAACGAGGTGGAGTAAAAAGATGAGTTATTGAGACACGTTATTGAGACACAGCTGTTGCTACTCATGATATGGTTTTGATCGTTAACTGTGACGAAAGTCAAGTTTCTCGCCTTTATTATTGTTGGCGTAGGATGAATATTGCATTCACTTCAGAATACTCGAGAAACCATTACAAAACACTTGTTTTTCACATCATGAAAAAGGAGGCCATTATAAACATAATACTTGTCAAATCAATTATGAAAATTGTTCATGTTGATAATTTAAATAAATATAGCATGGATAGTTTAAGCTTTCAAACATATGCTTCACATAATAGCAGACTGACTTGAAAATGCAGAGTTTTTATTTTCGCATTTAGCACTCGGAACAAGAATAATTGCAGTACTGTTTATTTTGATGGGAACAGTTGGGATTGAGCCTCAACCAAGATTATTGCTTAATAAATACATAGAGTGAAACCATGTGGCGCACTAGTAAGGGATGGGCTTCCAATCATAAGATCAAGTGTTCGAGTGAGTGGTAGGCTACTTGTCTGTGTCCTTGACAACACACTTATCCATATTTACATAATTATCTTTTTTACAGTGAAGATAACTTATCTAAATTATATTTCAGGATATGTTTTGCTGTTTTCTATTTTAGGCCAAATAAAAAAAATTACTGATTTCTCGTCCCCTCGCGCATCCATTTTCTCTGCCTCACCAAATTTTTTTAAATTTTTTTTTATTTACTTATTCGAAATGTACGAAAACCTGGCTGACTAACATCAGTAAACTAATTGCCTCTCCTCCTTTTTTCAAAACATTAGAATGAGAATCTACTTCTTTTTTTTTTTACTTGGCCATAGTTTTATAGTATGTCTAAGTAAAATACTATTTTAACTACTGATATAACTTACTTTTTTTTTGCAGTCAGGATGAGGCTATTGAAATTGACAAGGAGTTGTTCCATGAACATGGGCTTAGTTTATGTCTAAGTAAAATACTATTTTAACTACTGATATAACTTACTTTTTTTTTGCAGTCAAGATGAGGCTATTGAAATTGACAAGGAGTTGTTCCATGAATATGGTTTTAGTGTTGACCAGTTGATGGAGTTGGCAGGATTGAGCTGTGCCACAGCCATTGCTAAAGTATATCCAATTAGCTCGCTACCGAATAAGAGGGATCCAACTATATTAGTATGTTGTGGACCAGGAAATAACGGCGGGGATGGACTAGTGTGTGCCCGGCATTTAAAGATGTTTGTGAGTACTGTATTTCTTACAGTTTATAAACACATTTTATTATATATTTATAAGCAGTTATTGGCTGCCTTATGGATTTCTTATAATTTGAGTATTAATTATATAGGGAAACTGACTCTTCTTCTTCTTTTCTTTTTTCTGAGAGGCCTGCCTTACCAAAACCAGCATAATGCCGCTAATTATCAAATCGAATATCATAATAATGTAGCAGTATTGTATACTTTAGTACCAGAGAAGCTGCTTCTCTGTACTAAAGTATACATTACTTCCACATTCTTATGCTAAGGCCTAAAAAAGAAAATTGTTTGTTTGCCCTCCAGTGCCCTCCCCTAGCTCATGGAAAAATGGGGGCGGCGTTTTTAAAAATAGTGTTTTTTTTGTTTTTTTTGTTCACAAATTTTAAAATTGATCTTTATTTTTCTCCATTTTGCACATGAAAGTTGTCTAAATTTGGTGTCTGATGTAAGATATCACCTAAGGTAGGCGTAAATTCATTGCAAAATATCGATTATGGGTTATTTTTATTTAGTCTGATGAATACCCTTTAAAAAACAAATAGAGAGACAGGCTTAATTGCAAGCATTGTTATTTAATATGTTAATTTTGGTGACAGGAGAAAAAAAAAAAAAAAAAATTTTGCGCCTTCCGCTCCTATACAATTTTCAGCATTAAAGGGCAAACAAACAATTATATTTTTAGGCCTAATTACTTTGTTTAAGAATTAGCAACTGTACATTGGTTTTGGGATGGCAAGCCTTATATCATGATATTTATTTCATCTTCAAACATAACACTATAACATAAGAACACTATACATTATACTTAATAAAATTCACAATAAAATATAAGCTTTGTCCAATAATCAAATATCAAATGTATCAAATAATTTATAATTTGAATCAGCATTTACTAGTGGTATGATTTTATACTTTTTTGTTTTGTAGGGTTATCATCCAACCGTATTTTACCCGAAACGACCAGATAAAAAACTCTTTGAGAACTTAACCGTACAGTGTTCTTCGATGGATATACCATTTCTTTCTCATCTATTGTCAACCAACCTCCTCAATGAATCCTACAGCTTAATTGTGGATGCCATCTTTGGCTTTAGTTTCAAGGGAAATGTGAGGTCACCGTTTGGGGACATATTGGAAACCTTGAAGAAGGTGTCAATGCCAGTTTGTAGCATTGATGTGCCATCAGGTAAGAAACAAATGTGTGAGGCTGTCATTCTCTTTAATATTTTATTTTTCTGTTTATTTCGCATTTAATAGGTCAAATACTTATTTGTCCAGGTTTTAAAAAAAAGCAGGAGGTTGATTCGACTTTTTACTTTTTTATGTGGTACCCAATTCACACAAGACAAAATTTTACACAGAATGCCTGCTAAATATTACTCAGAGATATTGTAACTTTTATATACAGTGCATTTTCTGTCTCTTATACACATCTAGATGTGTATAAGAGACAATATATATACAGTATGTATATCTCTTTCCTCCCAGTATGAACACTTGTTAAGATGCGATTGATTTTGAATGAAATTGGATAGTGCTGAATTAGGTTGCATAGAATATTACCAGAAGAGAGCTGTCGAGCTTGCATATGTTATACAATTGATTCTGTGTCCAATTACCAAGTACAACTACCAAGGGGGAAAAAAAGTGCAAAGCCATGCAATATGATTCTGTTTGGGGCTCCAGATATCAGAGTGTCTCCTCTTCTAAAACAGTGTCTGCAAAGTTTTTTTTCATATCCTTCTTGAGATTTTAGGCACCAAGCACTGGCCCTACTGATCAGAAATACAAAATCATGGCAAGGAGCTATTATCATAAAAATTACTTCCATGTTTTTATAATATATATTAATTTCAGATTATTATCTGTTATAATACTAATTAGTGACCAAATTTTAGACAAACTACGTATTCATTATCAGTCAAGCAGTTTCACAAAAATGCATTTTTTTTTCTCCTGAATGGGTGACCTTGCAGCCCTCGAAAGTTGTTTTGCAGCCCAAAATTTGGTTGCACCTTAATTCACAGATCATGTCCCACATTATAGTCTCAAAGGTACGTTCTTCAAATATGCTTCGACGCCATGCACCTAAATGGAAACTTCTGTGGCCATTGTACTTTTTCTAGCTTAGCACTTACTTTATGGAATGTCCTCCCTACGGAAGTGAAAGTTCGCGAAATGTAGCCGAAGTGTAATAGCTGCGCCAACTGTTTCCTTTGTAGTGGTAATGACTTTCTTAATGATGCTAATTATAATGATGTTATTAGGATATGAATTATGCAATGTTACAAGGTGTGATCCCAAAGTACAGTGTATAGAGCTATTAAGTTGCTTGATGATATGACTGCAGTAGTGTTAATTGAGGCAATCAGTTGGTGTTGATGATGGTAATGATCATGTCAGTGATACTTAGAAGTTAGAGTTCAGTCATGTTACTGTAGAGACTAGGCTACAATGTTTTACAGTAGATAAACATTCAAGAAATGGTAATATACAGCCAGAAAGAAAATCTGTGTAAAACCTCAAATATTGTCTTAAAAATTGAATTTTTCATTTAAAATTACTGCCAATACAATTTAAAAAAATAAAACAAGGGTGTATCCAGTGTGGGGGGGGGGGGACACTACATTTTAAATGTTTGCCAACTACATTTTAGAAATAAATGCCTGCTGTTCAAAAAAATTCTGGATCTGCCCCTGAAACCCTTTATAAACAAATAAATGACCTATTAATTTTCGTCCAATGACACACAAACAAATTAAGAAAGTTTTTACTAATTTATAGATTGTTTTCGTACATATAAAATTCTAACCAATTGAACAATCTACAGTATGGAAAATATAAGAATTAAATCTGGCTGCCAATGAACTTTCCCAGAGTGTCAGTGTTACTAACAACTGACTAATCAGAATACGGTTGGGTATACATGCTTGTCCCACAAACGAATGTGTCATCCCACTTGTGTTCATCCATTTATGCTGTTGTTTTGGGGATCTTAGCAACAATATTCAAGGGGTAAGGCCCATTGCCAAGGAAAGTATTATCCTTTAACAGCTAATGACATAATTTTCATTTTTATACTTGAAAGCTAATAACTTTTATATACAGTGCATTTTATATACACACATGGAATTGTGGCAGAAACTGAGGTGAATAATTGCAAGCAATGTTGTTGATTAATTATGAATATATAAACTACAGAATACTCATTATCATTATTATTTATTTAACTTAATTGTCAAAACTTTATCACTATGAAACAATTTAAATATACATGACAATAACATTATAATAAGCTATAGTGATACAATCAGTATATTGTGTGTGTATTACATTTAGCTGTGCATATGCTGCTGGTTGTTGCTGATTTAGAATGTGCTAACACACAATGAAGTACGATACGATGAATATTTGATTATGTTTAGAGAAGAACTTGTAATGCTAATTTGATAGACATTTGTAAAAAACATTTCTTAAAGCATTTGAGAGAATACAGTAATCATTTTTGGTTGGTGCAAACAGGTGAACTCGTGCGATGATTTCATAACTAGGCTAGGCTGCGATCTAGTCCTAGGCCTTGGCAGCCTCCTACCTTCATCTAATTTTGTTCCTTGAAATTTTTTAATTAAGTCTAGAATTCCTATTAAATGTTTATTAAGGTTCATTGATTCAAGGAATTCCTTAATTTTTCATACATAATATTGAATTCTGAGGGTTCTAATTAACCTTACCAAACTTGGGGGAGTGTCTGCCCTCTCTTTCCGTAGGTGTGTGTCGTAGTGCTAGGTGTGAAAACCTACAATCCATTGCTGTGCATGATACATACTGTTACAAGTTGTTTTCACCTTTTGCACACAAACTGAAAAAATATCATACAAGCCATGTACTAATGAAAAATGAGTGCACGGTTGGGGATAGGAAAATAACATTGGGAGTAATGATGTCACAATTGACTTATAATCACTATTAATATTGTTGTTGCTGTTCTTGATGTTGCTAATAATTGAAATGTTTGTATTTCCTTGGATTTGAAACATCATTCAAATCATTGAATATGGACACCCATTGCATACCGAATACACAGTACCTGACCGATGATGGAAAACATTTCATTAGTTATTTCTGCCCTTTGGTGAATTGTATATTCAATGGTGAATGGAGACATTGGATAGGAGTTGACTGGGGAATAGCAATATCAGTTCTGCTAGTGGTGGATATCATAACCGTACAGTACAAATGAATAATGTATGCTGCACGGCAAATGTTTAACTGATGATTTCTCAGGAATATCATTACGTTTAAATGAGAGTCTTTCAGAGGAAATTACTGCAGCTAATTGGTCGAATAACACAGTATTATTATGCATATGGTGCACATAATGTTGATACCTCATCGTCATGGCAATATAATAGGCTAATTGAATTAAGTAGATTTTATACAAGTCTGAAGATTGATTAATTTTTAGAAAATCCCATTTTTTCTTTTCTTTTATTTTATTTTTTTTATTCTTTTATTTATTTTTATTTGGTTGGTTTTTTTCCATTCGCATTGAGCAGTCAACTTTGGAATATATGTATTTGATATTAAAAAGTGAAATATTAACCATGATTTGTAGATTAAGAATGAAGTCTTCTGACATGTATCGTTGAACCTTGCAGAAGTAGGTTTATATTCACAACAGGTTATGAAGCATATCGCTTTATGACGTAATTGTACACATTGTGAATCTATCAAGAAGTTACAGTGTCATAGATCTAATTAATCTTCGGTGTGTGTATATATATGTATGTATAAGATGTGTATAAGAGACAGCACCAACTGTTTCCTTTGTAGTGGTAATGACTTTCTTAATGATGCTAATTATAATGATGTTATTAGGATATGAATTATGCAATGTTACAAGGTGTGATCCCAAAGTACAGTGTATAGAGCTATTAAGTTGCTTGATGATATGACTGCAGTAGTGTTAATTGAGGCAATCAGTTGATGGTGTTGATGATGGTAATGATCATGTCAGTGATACTTAGAAGTTAGAGTTCAGTCTTGTTACTCTAGAGACTAGGCTACAATGTTTTACAGTAGATAAACATTCAAGAAATGGTAATATACAGCCAGAAAGAAAATCTGTGTAAAACCTCAAATATTGTCTTAAAAATTGAATTTTTCATTTAAAATTACTGCCAATACAATTTAAAAAAATAAAACAAGGGTGTATCCCTGTCTCTTATACACATCTAGATGTGTATAAGAGACAGTAGTTACTCCTACTAAATGGGTGTAATTAATTGAATGACAGCCTATTTAGTATTGATTGACAATCTAGGCTATAGTATATATTGATTGATAGGTGACCAAAAATGAGGCACAGCCAGCTCATTAGCTGTCAGCAACCTTGCACATTATAGAGAA